ACACTAGCCCCCACTAGGTGTCTACAAGAAATTGATTTACGATCTTCTTGTCTGTAATGTAGATGAATTCATCATTGTATTTCTGATCACTCATTATGGTGGATCAAAGGATTTAGCCTGTCAAACTAGAACTATTTTAGTCACTATTACGCGTCGTGGTGGCCAATGTTCTTCTACATTTCTGAAGCCTCAGTGAATGAAAGTTCACAACACCGTCGAACGGTTTATAATCTTTACCTAGTAACTACATCTAACTTCAGTATTACCAACTTGGTTTTATAGAAACGCCACATCCAATAATCAAAACAGGAACAATCCATTATAGCCAAACCAACGTTGTGACTGACTGACTGACTGAGCCAAACTGACTAATAATTGCTGAAAATGTTGAGATGCACGTTAATATACCATAAACTTAGTGTCTTTAGTAGCGAAATTCACGCATATAAAAGATATAAATGCAGAAGTAGGTTTTATATTTTACGATGAATTGTTGTAATAACAAGTGGTCAACATAATCAGCCATCGTTTAACTCAGTAGCAGCTACAGGTCAGCATCTTAATCTCATTGGTGTTAAGTAATGAAAACTGCCTGAACTCATGAAGAAACTTAAGAATCGTAGGGTCCAAATCTACTGTTTTTTTAGCATAGTCATTATTTGACTGATCAACAGACTCGACATAAAGTTTGTGAAACCACATAATTGGCTAATCATTACAACAAATTACCTGAGAATAGAAAATGAGTAAGTTTAAAATTTACCAACTGAATATGAGAATCTATCGTGTTACTTGTAAAATTAGTAACGAGCAAATAACTAAATCGGTTTTTATATATGCTTAATTCTGTTGATTTTTATGTGATATATGTCGTACAGCCAGATGAATTCATCATTGTATTTCTGATCACTCATTATGGTGGATCAAAGGATAATAGAAAACAATAAGAAGCCATGATCTACTACGTTTCGCCGATACTAGCCGTCATATCAGTATTTCAACTTTTAAAGTTATCAACAGAGTTCTACTGAACTCAAAACTAAGACTCCTACATACAACAGAAGCCATAGAAATACACATGAACAAACCTTATCTTCTGCATACAGGAGACGCTTTTATGGCTCCTTAATCTACCTTAGCCTTCTACCTAGTCACTTTTACATTTCTCAAGAAAGATTTTTAATCTTTTCAATGCCGATTCCATTTTATTTCCTGGTTTTATTCTTGTGTACCTTGCCTTTATAAGCTGATTATCTAATTTTTGGCACAATCTTTATTACTTATCCATTATCAATTTTACAAGTAGCATTATTCATTCATATTCAGATGGTATGAATTTTCACCATTTATTTGATATGGATTTCATACTTAACCGTAAACCAATATATTTGTGAAGATCTATGACCAGGAACTAACTAGAAAGAAAAACCTTTTTTCCTTTGACTAATTTGTAAATAGGAGAGATATTTAGACGATTAGTGCCTGTTTGACATGTAAGACTAGAAATCTGAATGTTGGGTATCATGTACCATATCAGAAGTAACTAAGTTAATTAGTCTTCTGATATTGAAAATATAGGTAGATAATGATATGATTCCCACTAGACATAAATAGTTAATTCATAAAGGCATATATTAGGAACGTACCAATTTGAAGGCTTTGGAAGCTTTTCTCTCGCAGCATATTCATTTTCTAATTCTACGTACTTTTTGTCCAGAAACTATTTGAAGCGAGAAAAAAAACTATACTATTATCCTAAGACGTTGTGAACCAATTCGATATGGTGTAGTCAGATGAAAAAATGGTCGAAGAAATATAAATGACTACTTATATATTACACTCTAGCACCAAGAATCCTACCACATGAACAATTAACATTGAGGAAGAAGTGGTGAAAAACGAATGAAGTGTGAGGTTTAAAGTTTCTGTAGTAAATAAACTGATTGAACACCTATAAAAAATGAGGTGGTTGAACAAGACGTCACATACGCCTACATACAGTTTATCTGTGCATGGTATGTTGGTTAAGAGATCGTAAGAAGATTCATAGTTAATATACAAAGATGCAGTATCGATTCCAGAAGTTCAAAATTGTTGTTTTGATATGTTTATTTGTAATGAATAAAATACATAGAATGGAGATTGAGTGGTTCAAATGGTTGTGGACGGAATAGAAGTGGCTTTCGTCTAATGGGTTTTGTTTTTTAATAATGGTGGATCACTAATATCTCTAGGCAGGAAACTAGATATATTAACCATAAGAGAAAAAAATTGGTAAATTCTGATGAGATACTAACCTTATTCCATAAGAATAGGTCAAGTTTCCTCTTAAAGGACTCCAGCAAAATCGCGTGGACTGGCTTAAACGGCAGCGAATTACGTCATTTGACAACTCTTAAGGAGTAGTAGTGGTGTCCACAATTCGTTGTGCTGTGTTGTATCTCCAGTTTCTAGGTGTTGCCACTTAGATTTGTGTTGGAGCTAAACTTAAGTGGGTGTTTAAGGTGATATGCCGGAGTGTTAAGGATTTTGTAAGCAATTAGGATGTCACCTCTAAGACGCCTGTACCCTAATGGGGAAAAGTTTGGATTGATTCCCCCAATTGATTTCGTGGTTCGCCATTGGATACGCTCCGGTGTCCTTATCCTTTTGGGGTGAGAGAAAATACTATGTTTTCGAACTCAGTTGAGGACGAATAAAACTGTTGAAAAATATATGGAAAGTTCTTCCATCAAACTGGCAAAAATGCGCTCCAATGTTACCAGTGCGAGGTTTGATAGAGACACATTTTTGTTACAGTTAACGTCAGACTTCAAATTGTAGGGTACCAGTACTCCTACATATTTTTCAACTTGGGATACTTCTAGAGAGGACTTCTCTAAGTTGTAAATGTAGTCTGCGACGTGTCGGAGATGGACTATTTTACACTTTGAAGTGTCAAAGGTAAGTCCGTTATCGTCTGTCCAACTTCGAAGTCGAGTCAGATCCTCCTGGAGTGTCTGTATGTCGTCTTGGTTGCATATCACTCTCTCCAAAGTTTCACATCATCAGCAAAAAGTAATAAGTCTGACGATGCCTGTTGTAGAAGACCGTTTATATAAATCAGGAAGAGAAGAGATCCTAGCGCTGAAACCTGAGGGACCCCACTAGGACATTCCATAGCCTGAGAGAAAGTGAAGTCAACCCTGACCTTAAGATGTTGATTTTTAAGATGTGAATTGAACCAATGAATAAGAGACGATTTGATACCCAGGCGTTTGAGTTTATTGATAAGACATATATGGCTGACCCTATCAAATACTTTTTAGAATTCGAGGTATATGACGTTAATCAAGGATGGTTGTCCACCTGCCCACCGCAGTCAGCACGTTGGTTATACAAAAGCGACCCTTACTGAAACCATGCTATTGGGATAAAAAGTAGTTTAAGGATAATAAATGGTCATGTATACCGTTGTAAATCAGGGACTCCATAGAGAGGTATTGAGAGAAGAGCCACCTGTCGGTAGGTTGGTCGCTGTGTCGACCTCCTTTGAAAATCGGTGTGATTTGAGCCAGCTCCAAATTTCCGGTAATATGCCTCGGCTTAGTGAGTATGAGAACATCACGCTAAGCGGTGTTGCCAGGATTGAAGCTGCATCCCTCAATATAGGATAACAAACCATTTCCGGGCCAGGAGAAGTGTCTTTTCTTAGATGCTGCAGTTTTCGGAACACCAAGTCAGCTCTCAGGTTCACATCAGAAAGTCCTGTGCAGTTGCAGATGAAGCTTCCATCAATGTAGATAATATGGGTCGGTTGAAATGTCAGAGAATACTATTCAGCCTGAAGTTTAGCGGCGTCACTAGTATTATTGGTGAGCCCATTACGACCTAGTAGTTGAGATGCTTCACCTTTTTTCTTCTTAAAGAGAGGCTGCATAACGGAATAGGCTTCTCCGGTTGGAGACTAATTTATCCATAAGCTTTATCTGGTACTAAAGCCTGTCTTCTTTTATTGACTTTGTGCATATGTTCCTTATACATTTGTATTGTCTGTACGCACCCTTGTTATCAGTTCGTTTTTACTTTGCCCAGCAATGTCTTTTGCGACATAGTAAACGAAGAGTGAGGTTCCTGATGACTGTAGGCTGCTTGTTGCTTTTGGGGACCGTCTGAAGATTGACTGATTTGTAGCACATAAGAGCGTGTGCAGTAAGAAATTCCAAAGAGCATCCATAACAAGATAAGGGTGAACATCCCAATCCCACTGTTGTAGATAGTCCTGTAAAGATGACACATTCAAACGTTTGAAATTCCGGCCCTTTTTGATGGTGGGATGTTTTAGCTCAGTTTTGCTGGCATAACTGAAGCCTATAACAGAATGATCGCTTTCCCCTAGGTGAGCAAAGATTGAGAAGTCAATTAGAAAATTTTTTGATTGTAAATACCCGGTTTAAACGCGACGGTATCTGACCGTTTCTCCAACGAGTTGCCGACTTCACATTCTCGAATAATCCCAGATCCTCAGTGAAGTTGATGAACCGAGCTTCAGTAGTATTTCCACGTATGTACTGAGAAATTGACTTCAGGAAGATTGAAGTCCCCTAGAATCAGGATATGAGTGAGTCCGAGATGAGTAAAGCGGGGTAACCCTTCCCACATGAGATTGTCGTACTCGATGTTACCAGTTGGCTTCCTGTTGATGACTCAAATTAGACATCTCGAGGTGGTAGACAGTCTTACTGAGCACCATACGTGTTTCATCAAGAACGATTAACTGTTGGTTGTACACTTGATGTACTTCCAGGCAAGAATGTAGGTATAAGGCTACTCCACCCCTAATTCCTGGTTTTCTGTCATTGCGAAACAAAGACATCTCGACATCTAATGCCGATAAACATAAATCTCTGACAGTTGAAAAAGTATTACATCTTTCAACCTCTAAACATTCGACAAAGCCTTTAGCGTTACATCACTCTCAAGTATTATTCAGGTTTATGTAAAGCCATGGTGCTTTTGTTATTTCGAACTAGCGGTTAATGCGCGGATTTCAAACTCGACATTTGATGGCGAACCGTAAAAGGAACAGGCCAGAGGATTGGGAGGATTTGGAGCCATCTCCAGTTATTCATATACGGGAGTTGCCAGAACATACTCTCGAGCTGGACTTAATTAGAGTTTTTGAACAGTTTGGCTCTATTAGGGATATTGCAATGATTCCACATAAAGGTCAAGCACTAATTGAATTTGATGACATCAACTCAGCAGAAAGAGCTGTTGCAAGGTAATCTTCAGTAATATACAAATTACATAAGTATAAGATGTTCAGAGAATGCCGTGATGTTTGCTAACCACCGATTGAAAGTTAACTATAGTACATCCAAACGTGTGGTCCATCGACCTCTAGAAAATGATAACCAGCACTCCGAATTGCCTCCCGAAAGCCGTGTACTTATGTTAACGGTTTACAATGCTCAATATCCTATCACAGTCGATGTCATCCATCAAATTACAGCCAAACATGGACGCGTTTTACGCATTGTCATTCTCCGTAAAACCCGAATACAGGTACTTGTAGTTTGACATTTTACTTGTTCAAAGGCTATGGTGGAGTTTAAAAATACAGAAGAGGCCCGGACTGCTAAGCGGCATCTTAATGGGGCCGACATATATTCTGGCTGCTGTACACTGAAAGTCGAGTTCGCTCGTCCTACACGCTTGACTGTTACTCGTAATGATCAAGATTCATGGGATTTTGAAAATCCATTATTACTGTCTACCTCACTTAATGAAGCTGATGGGCGTGGAGATATTTCTCTATTAGGTAAGAAGGGTCTTCGCTTACTGTTGTCTTAGGACGTTTTGAACGTTCACGTGCTCGACACGAAAGCTCAAGGTCTGTTAATGGTGGCAACTTTGGCTATCATGATGGTTTCATAAAGCAAAATGCTGTCGGGCTTAGTGTCCCACCTGCTTCGTTCTTAGACCAGTTGGCTTTAAATTACCATGTATCGAGGCGTGGTCTCGATGGATTGAATGGTCAACCTTATGCTAGGGCTGCAACTGCTGTCATAATGGTATATAACATGGATATGGATCATATGAACTGCGATCGGTAAGTTTCATTCTCAAGACTTTATCAAGCTTAAAAAGCCTGATAATCATTTTGGCCTTGCTCAGTCAACGTGGCTTTCCATACTCATAATTCGAACTTATTTCTTTATTCGTTTACTCGGGTATGATTAGTGGGTATACAACTTTCTTACCATTTGGGTAGGCATTAACTACTTTATCTGGTAGGTACACTTATTTAGGAAATGTATAATATTAGGTAGTATTAAGACTGTAGCTGTTAGTTACACAAATATTTTACACAAACCCGACATGTGTTGTTTTAGGCCCTGGCAAATACCTTACATGTGTAGCGACTTAGGTTACTCACCAGTCTATTCAAACAATAAAACCAAACTCGTGAGTCCTTTTATTCGTGTTATTAATAATACACTTGCACCTAGATGTTCTGTCCTAGCATGTTTCTTACTCTTCGTTGTATATCTACCAGCTTACCCTTATCTATTTGGATTGTATTAGCTGATGCACAAAATTGAGTTGATTGGTCTCCATTCCATCTGCTCACATGAATCCCTGAAATGTCTCAAACACAGACTTTCAATTCTGCGTTTTATTGACGTGAAAAATTGTACCATATGTAGGGAATTGATTGAAGGTGTGTATGTTGGAAATCGACTAAATTACGGAGTTTACGAGGTGCCACAAGGTGGTGACCTCGATGTAATTGGTACTTCCGGATCAGATTTAAGGAATACTTGTAAGCGAATAGGTTATTTATTCTAATACACAAAGTCAGATAATACTAGTTTCAGTATATCCTTAGACCATCTGTTTTATTTTTATTATTTTATTTGAACACATAAATACTGGTACAAGGGGGCACCAGAAACATATGCGCAGGACAAATCTCATTTGACTTGTGTGAGTGCTGTGATTCTGCACGGGTGCCCAGACTAAAGCAGGTGTTTTTCTTAGGGGGCCTCACCCGGAGCATCTGACCTAAAGGTCCGACCCACAAGGCAGTGGAGCAACTTAAGGAAATTCAGTCTCAGACTCTCCGTGACTAGCTGTTTAAAGTAGTGCTTACTATAGTTCCACTAGAAATGGTCTCGTCAATTTTCTTGTAATTTACTGTGAATGAGTTTCAAATTGTAGGATGGACTACTTGTTTTCCACTGGACCAAATTTGCTAAAACTATTAATCCTTCCAACTTTTGGTAATTGGTCAATTCTATTGAGTTTTTAATTATCACGCTTTCGTTTTGTTTTAGCTTGTTCAACCTTCTTTGTCTCTATGGTAATGTTGTTCGTATTAAGTTTTTGAGGACTAAAGAAGGATCAGCTATGGCGCAAATGGGCGATAACGTTAGTGTTGATCGTGTCATTACTAACCTGTCAGAAGTCCCATTGATGGGAAATGCATTGTCGGTATGGTTCTTTCTATCTTAAATTCATTTTGTTGTTTTGCTGATAGGTCACTAGTTTTTAAATACTAGTGACTAATAACGTCTTAGCTTTAGTTAGTCCTACGTGCTGTCACCATATTGTTACCATATATTCGGTCAGTTTGACCAAATGAATCCTTCACATATGTGCATCGACCCAAGTCGTCATTATATCACACAGCAGTGATTATTATCAATGATAGTAAAAACAATTGACCACTGATAGGCTTCCAAAACAAGATCTAATTTGCCTGAAGCAAAGTAGAAAGTAGTTTTTTAAATTCAGGATCTACGCTACTGTTACCGATTATGAGCCATCGTTCTCACTGTCCGACAATTGATTACTTCTATCGCACTGACCCCAACTGGGCAGTCTACACCAAGTAGCATGATCCGCTTCAGTATTCATTGATTTCATGGATTGGTTTCTTATCTTTACTTAATCGCCTTTAGTTTTATAACTTACTCTCATACCAAACAACACACGGGTTGGCTAGTGGGGTTAGGTTTTAGTAACATTAGGATCTACTGTCCCATCAACCGATTCTTTATCTTTGCCTAGTGTCCTGATAATATTGCTCTGTTGTTTCACAGTACGTAAACAGTCTTCCAGATAGACGCTAATGTTAACGCAAGTTGACAAATCTAGGTCAGATTTCGAATCTGTGCCGAGATTTCGTCAGGTATCAACTCACCAGGGTTGATGAGGCTTTTAAGAGAGGTAGACAGGTCAACGCACTTAAATACTGCTCTCCTTATGATCAATTTTGGTCAGTTAGGCATATGCGACGCTCCGCCTAATCTATTGATAACTGACGCTCAACTCATCTATATGTTCACACATATAACTGAGTTATATGTTCATTGCTCCTAACTAGCTCTCGATAACTAGAATCAATATGCATTCTGATTGCACCATATGTCAGAAAACTAAATTTAGAACTAGTCTCGCGAAAATACACTAATATTCATCTCATTTGAGTTTCATTCATCCGACATCCGCGATCTTACGTATTAGTCGCTTCGTAACACTTACACGGCTAATCAATTAACAGGGGTCGAAATTATACCCCTTCACGATTCAAAAGGAATATGGTTCGAAGTATTTCGTCTCCACAGTCAATCTTCTATTCCTCTGGCCATCCCTGTAATACGTATTTAACAGGATGTCTGTTCATCATGCAAATGAAAACACATACTACTCAATATCCAGTTCTAACAGTTTCAGAACAGCAGTGAGGTATATACACCGACACAGTTATCATTCAACAAGTTAATTATTCTTTACTTGATCGAAAACGTCTACGTTGATAACCCAGTAATCATTATCAAATACATTTAAACTCTACTATGTTCTATCTTTTTCTCAACTGCTTTCGTTTTTACTTGAGCTTTTCATTACTAAACTCGGAGGCTCATTAAACTGTCAAACATACTACAAACAATTTTTCACAATGTTACATAAAACATTTTGCATCTAAAGCGCGGAAAGCTCATCTCAAACATAAATGTCACTTACCAATATAATAAGGCATTCCTAAGTTATCGGACTACCAACAATCAAGGCCAGACTATTTATTTACTTCTGGCATTACTTTCTTACTAATATCGTTCTTAGAATTGAAGCGATAAACTTCTTTGCTGTGTTCTGCCTTCTTATAAAATTTCCCTTGATATTATTATATAGAGTTGTATTTCTCCCTTGAGGGCTGAAAAATTTATATTCACACCCTTCAAGTATTATGCTACAATTAGTCGCAGATGAAATTAAACAGTGATCCAGTCTCATAGTTGATGGTATTATGAAAACAGTATGTGACAGAGATGTACATATATTGTCGTAAGGAATGTTTTTTGATCTCGCTTATACAAATGACACGTAGGCTGTCTAAACCGTGCTTAATCATTTACAATCATTATTCCATAATAGGATATATACTTTACACCTTCGAAATACCAACCACGCTTATAAAACTGAAAGGAGCCTGGATCTTTACTCCTTATGTTTGTCCATTGGAGATAGGCGACAAGTTCATTTATCTTGACAGCCGTGTGCTGGTCTTGGCTTGGCTGATGAAATCAACCTAGGCATAGTCAAAGCAGAAACTTATGTTGACTTAGTCCATCTTTGGCTCCGTTGCAATGTTATTCTAGTTGTTATAGGTAGGGTATATGTATCAAAAAATGCACTTCTGCCCTGTGTATGTAAAACTTGGACTCTGTTTTGATGATTTTCCGTATTTAGTCCTTGTTGCACCCAAAGGATCGCTCACATACGATGCTGACACTATCCAAGTAATCTCGAGCTCTGACAGTTTGTTCACAAATGATATTTCAGTTTACCGTATATCAACATATCGGCTTCTCTAGCTTAAGCTTGTCTTACTAGTGTCATTTTAAAGAGCTCTCAAATCGCACATTATTTTCCGAAATTCAGTCAGTCAGTCAGCTACAACGTAGGACCAGGCACATATGTGCATCGGTCCAGGTTGCCATACCTCATTAGCACAGCAAGATGAACACCGGATTCATAGGAGTGGTTAGGTCAAAGGTTGCAGTTGTCCCTTGGGCACTGCGGTCACGCTCTCAGGTCACTAAGACCACCTTTAATCCAATTTCCTTTTCAGGTACCTCCAGAACAACCCTTCCACGGTATGGGCAACCGGGAAGTGATAACCGCCCTCATACCTCTAACAGCACCCAAGACCACTGTATTCATAATCAACCTCCCTCTTCAATTCCTATTATTCCTCCTACATCGACTTTCAACTTTAAATTTCCTCTCTCGGCTTCCACCTCAAGTGTCACCATAGCCAACGATTCTAGTGCGCAAAACACTGTCCCAGGTCTACTGAAACCTCGCTCCAAGCTACACATTGGAGCCTGTGTTCTAGAACCTGACGAATGGTGAATATGTGGTCGATGCAGCCACGACCAGGTCTAAAGCCAGCTTGGTTCTCTCGAGTTTGTAGTTCACGAGTCTTAGGCGTTTGATAATTATCGAGGCCAGTATTTTAGATACTATGTTTGTTAAACTAATCCCTCTGTGGTTGTCACAGGATGATTTTGACCCTTTCTTATATATTGGGACGATAAGTGATTGTGGCCAGTCAGATGGGATAAAGTCTAATTCCCAGATCTTAGCTAAAATATTAGTCAACCTAATCGCTAAAATTGGACCACCATCCTTAAAGACCTCTGGAGCCAATCCATCTGGACCAGCTGCCCTTCCTCGTTTCAGATTAACTATAGCCTTTTGAACTTCAGCAAGAGTTGGGGGACCTACTTCAATGTTCCATTCACACTGTCTGGGAATGGAAGGTAGTTGTACAGTAGCTAAAGGCCAGCTGAACTGTTCTCTAAAATGTTCCGCCCATCGTTCTAAACGCCTGGACTGGGAGCAGATGAGAGTATCATCTTTTTCCGAAATAATCTCACTTACACTTGACTTATTAATTCCAGTTTCTTTTATTAGTCCGAAATTAGAACTTGGGAGGAACAGAAAGTCCAGTTTATGAAATGTGGGATGTAAGGTAAGACTGGCGTCCAAGTTAATCACAACCATTTAGTTTAGGCTTCAAATATCATGCAACCCGATAGCTTGAGCTGTCATCAAGAATGGTTCAGAATAAAAAAATTGCAACAATCCCGCTATAGTTTCTTACCTTTTCACATGAGTAAGCTCCCATTATAAAAATAAAGATCTATCACGCTTACACTCCCATTCGGACTGCTTCTTTATAGAATACTACTTTTTCTCATTTACTTCTTAATTATGTGGTTTCCCGCTTTTTATTTTCTTCGGTATCATCTACTCATTCTGAATTACTTGACCTTCTGCTTCGTTTTCGGAGTTTGTGTTATAAATGGAATTAAATGTAGGTGTACTTTTCGCCGTGCTGATAGTTACATTTAGGGTCCTAAAATATGAAATTTTTCAGGACATTTCAACAGAACACTTAAATAAAAACTAAACGGAATGATATCTATCATTTCTTTTTGTGGTTAGCTATTGTAGTCAGTTGAATGTACTTGGTTTGATTTTTTGTGTAGCGGAAAACTCAGTGTTCTCAATTTACTTTTAAATTCTAGATTCGTCCAAGCAAACAACAACTTATCCTGGACGTACCGAAACCTTTTGAATTACCAGATGGTACCCCATCTTTCAAAGACTATTCAGGGTGTCGTGAAAATAGATATATAAATCCAGACAAGGCGAGTAAGAATAGGATCTATCCACCATCACATACTCTGCATTACTGGAATTGTCCTCCGAGTTATACCCCAGAGGAACTACGCAAGTTGATTGTTGAATGTGGTGCTTCACCACCTCGGTATGTAGTGCTGTTTTTCAATGTTCGCTTTCGATATTTGTAAACACCATACCACTGCTTCTTACTTTTATCCGATGGTCATCTAATTGCATGACTAACATTTTTTCAAATGATAGTCATAAGTGGTAATAAAGTGTTTTTGTATAACGCCTTAAGACAACAAAATCTAATCAGTCGGCAATACTCATCACACTCCTATTCAATTTCACAGAGAAATTCAAGCAGTCGAAACATAGCATTGATAATAATATTTTCCGTCCATTAATTGTGCCATGCAAAATTCACTGCACGTGAATGTTGTGTTTACCACCGCCTGGGCGTGAAAATGTTTTGTCGGTAGTAAATTCGATAGTCATTGTAAACTAAGGGTATCTTCAGTTGTGGAGCATAATTATTCGCTATGATACTCTTGTAAGAAATAATGTTTGCAAGATTAGGTTCAGCACTATCATCATCAATTTGATTGGTACCAGTATGATAATTATTTAGGACATTAAAGTGTATTTGGTTGTGTATTCTTATTCATTAAAATAATAAGGCGCTTAAGTATTATTTCGCGACGACAATAGATATCTCATCCGTTGTGTTATCTGTTTCTGTTAAAGGTTAAACTATTGAAATAGCTTCCTATTCACTTATAATATGTGCTTATCATTCTGTAAGGTTTTGGGTGGTAGTTCAGTGAACTGACTTACTGTTTCGCCGGACTGTATCTTGTTTGATTTCCCTATGAAGAACATATACTTCTTATATAATATATCTGTCAGTCAGTAAAATATGTATCTGTAGTTAATTCAATTTCTTAACTTCTGTTCTTTTCGGATAATTCCTTATTTTGTCCAAACTGTATACAGCCAAATTGCACCTTTCCCAAGGATTAGTGATAGATCCTCTTCAGGCCTTGTAGAATGGGGAACAAAAGATGAAGCCGTTACTGCCCTTGCTTTGTGCAACCACCAAGCTATTCCAAACACCGAAGGTCGTTATCCATTTCTTCTTAAACTGTCATTTTCAAGCTCTCCTGTCAATGACCGGGCATTTTCAGGTTCAAAGAAGATTGGCTCATCAAATATTGGAAAGTCAGCAGCATCCGTAGACTCTAGCGAGTATGAATAGTTAATGGATAGGTTAGTTAGTACTTGTTTGAATTTTTTAAAGTTAATGGTTTTTTATCCATTTCTTTTTTGTTTGTTGTGTCATTTATCTCACCGCTTTCCCTGTGTATATAATACAGGTCTAATATACTCTTAAAATCATGTTATTATTTCCTTCGTAACATCTACTAACGCGGCTCATTATACTTTTATTTATTTAAAATGTTTTGGTTTGACTGTTTAGTTAATTTTCTACTGTAATTAAAAAATTACCCTTCACATCGTCTTTTTACACAATGCATTTGTTTTTGGAAGTGCATTTTGATCATGTATCTTTTGTAGCGATCCATTTTTCTGAGCTCTATAAATTACACAAGGTCTCAAGTATTCCAACATAAACTTAAGTATCGACGTTTCTTTGCTAATAATTTCAGATATTTTGATTCAAGAAGCTTCAAACACAATCCTACCTCTTTTTGAGACCTTCCTCCCAAAGCTGCTCGCCATCATAATTTTTTCACCCAAGTTAATTTACGGATGATGCGACATGAAAACTGTTTGTACATGGATCACATTAGAGTCGTCAATCGAACACAGTATATTAAGTCTACTTGATTTTCATAGTAGACAATGATGGTTTCTTTTTTTTTACTTAAAAGCAGCATTTGACTTTGTACACCAGAAGGTTATGCGGCAGTGTCTGTCATTGAAAGGCGTACCTCAAAAGTACATAAACCTTGTGAAGGCTCTTTACTCGAACACTACTAGTCCAGTCACAGCTTATGGCGAACTGTCATCTGATTTTGCAACCTAAAATGGTGTCCGTCAAGGTTGTCCACTATTTCCATTTCTGTTTAATTTCATCATAGATATACTACTGGAAATGACGTCCACGTCGACTGAATTTTCACGAATTAATCTCCTTCCCGAAGGTCCACTTGTCGACTTAGAATATCCAGATGACAGTTCTGTTTGGTGAAGACGCTGATAAGATGCAAAGTGTTTTGGTAGCATTGAGCAACAATTCCAGGATGTTTGGAATGCATTTCTCCCTTTCTAAGAGCAAATTGCTGCTTCAGATCTAGTCTGCGTCAACACCTGAACTAAAGATAGGGAGTAAAGTAGTCGAACGCGTCGACAACTTCACTTATCTCGGAAGTTTGATCAACCCTAATGGGTTGGTGTCTGACGAAATCTCTGCACAGATTCAGAAAGCTCGTTTGGATTTTGCCAACTTATGTCACCACCTATGACGAAGGCGAGATATTCGTCAATCGATTAGCGGACGGGTGTACTGTGCAGCAGTTCGTTCTGTGCTACTTTACGGCTGCGAAACGTGGCCATTAAGAGTAGAAGATATTCGCACTTTACTAGTATTTGATCACAGATATCTTAGAAATATTGCTCGCATCTGCTGGGATCACCGGGTAAGTAATAGTGGGGTTAGAGTCATGGTATTAGGGAATGATGGTAAATCAGTTGATGAGGTTGTGAATCTACATCGACTGAGATGGTTGAGCCACGTGTTACGTATGCCTGAACATCAATTACGACGACGCGCAATGGTGATTAGTGTTGAGGCGGTTGGAAGGAAGTTAGGGGTGGTCAAACCAAAACGTGGCATCAGTGCTTGAAGTCATTAACTTCTAGTCTTAGTCATGTTGGTAGATGCAGACCACTTGGTTGGGGTCCGCGTGACTATCGTAACCGATGGTTGTAGAGTCTTGGTGAAATGGCTCAGAATCGATCACAGTTTGCGTAGGTGTATATACTCTTTGTCTTCCCTTAAACCGTGAGATTAAAATTACTTCATACCTTTCTTTCTAATAACTAATTCTTTCTTCCTGTATTATATCCTACGCAATCTTTCTTTTTATATATTACTATCATTGAAGTAACTACTTCTATGGATCTGGTGCTCATCTTGTATTAATGAGGTGTGGCAACTTGGACCGATGCATATATGTGCCTGGTCCTACGTTGTTTGACTGACTGTTAGTTGTTAGCCCTTTTGTAGTCTTCCAGTTCCTTCAAACACTTATTATTCTTTGTTGTACTTGGTGTTCATTCTAGTCTGATACCAATTTAAATGCATAATGTAAGCTGGTTTAAACAGCTACTTTCGTGCGAATCAAAAGCTTTTATTGCCTTACCCACATGAAGTACATGCACAAATTCATTCATGTAGATATGTCTCCTTGAAAATCAAGTCAGGTTCTCTACTATAAGCGTGAACCAGTGAACACTTCTCCCTTATTGACTGGCCTTGAAATGGTACGTCTGACCTAATCTATAGTTTTTCCATACAACAATATTGGCACTTCAAAAGCTTTGATTTTTCTTTATAATTAACTATCTTTTGATGAATGTGCGAGCGAAACATTCGTTTTTTTGTTAAATAAATGCTCAATAAATATAAGGAGATAACTGGAATTACAGGGAAAAAAGTGTAATATGAAATATATAAGTTGTCACGCTACCCTAGGTTTTTACAATGGGATAACAGTTGCCAAGAAATAATCCAGGTTTTAAAAATGTTTTTGGACACATAAACGAGGTTCGCACTTTTTAATACTCAATACTTCCATCTGCTCAGCAATGCACCCTTGGTGATTCCTACACATAGATTTAAAAGCTGTTTTAATGTCAATTTTATAACCTGTTTTAATTGTTTTGCTACGGGGAGCATGATTTTACTCCTGCGTTTATAGAGGTTTGGGACACTAATTGATCATGAAACAATTTCATCATTAATTATTCCTCTCTATGTATGTGTTCACACACATGTTCATTGGTTATTGCATGAGGTGTAATGTTGTTTAAACTGCGTTGAGGCCTATCTGAAATCATTTGATTAGTCTACTCATTTATAATCAATTTTGCAACACTGTATCTTTTTTTCGATGGTCGCTTTCAGTCTCTGCCTCAAAATCATGCTGTTTGATTCTTCTTTATAAACTTTGAAGAACATCTGTTTGATGTCATTTTTTCAGTCATCCATTTTATATCCTCTTCAATCGTGTCTATATTTCAGATCCGTTGAATCTTATTGTATTTTCGAGTCGCATGTGTGTGAATTCATACATGCAGAAGAGCAATCGGACAGCACCAGTCAAGGATGATGAAACATGTGCCAAAGTGGTTTCATGATCATTTAGTTTCGAACAACTCGATTATTTCAGGGAGTGGGGAATCATGTTCCTCAATAACAAGACACAATTTATCCTCTTTTTGTTTTGTTGCGAAAAGTGACAACCCGAAGTGGCTTTTTGACACGACTTTCTGCGTTGTATTCATTAAAACTGTTTCACTATTCAGTTGGTCACTTTGTTCATTCGTGTCACCACGTTATCGTGTTTGGTAAATATCTTATAATTAGGCCGTATTGTTTATAGAAGAGTTTGCTTTGTGCTATTTACTCATCGATGCATCTTGTCTCTGGACTATTGGCCATTTTCTACGTATTTATTTGCGTTCATGATTATGTGTACATTGTTCGACTAAAAAATGTCATCGAATAGCACTTCTGTTCATCTGTATGCCTAACAACTTTTGTTCATGAATGAATATCTTTTGAGTTTCACAATTTCTTTATTGATACTGACCTTTTTAATCCATACAGTACACGACACACGTTATGTACATTACTTCTACTAATTAAAAACTCCATTTCCTGTATAAATGTTAAATACAAATAACGGATTTCGCCAATGCATATGAATACATTTATGCTAAACCCGCATATAAAAAAAACATGCGTTAGGGTCACAACGCTTTCTACTAAATATCAAGTGATTACATATGTTTATTCATCTTATCTACTAAATTAAAAATTTGTAATCGAGTCAATTTTTCGCAATCAGATACTAATTAATTTAATGGATTGTCGAGTCAGGTTAGCCGAATTTTATGAATTCTTGTATTATGACGTAACAGTTCGTGGGTTTTAGTTAAAATGGACTTTTCAGTGAATTTTTGTTCACAGTTATTTCGTAGTAATAGTTTAAATCATTTTCTTTTAGCTAAACAAAAGTGAACTGTTCATGTTATCCTATATAAGTAACATTCTTTGATTAGCTTTCACCTGTGTCGGTCTACAGTTTATTTCTGTTTTTAATTCAAGTGAATATAACAACATAGGATTTCTGAATATTTGAAGTTTCTTCAATAAAACTTTTGTGACAACAGAATTCACATTATCTCCAATGTGTAGTTTAGTTAGCTAGGTTTCAATGAGATTGTTGTTTAAATTTTATTCGTAGTTATGGTACCCTAATGTTCATCTTTAAAAACACTAATATCGTTCGACCGAATTCATTTGATTAGTTCTTATTTTTCGATTGAACCAAGAATCAATCATTCTCTTGTTTTCCTTGCACTTTATTTATTTGCCTTCTATTAACTTCATTATTTTCGTAATCCTTTGCTACTAGTTTTTTGAAACATAAATAACGTCTTTCGGTTTCTGTAGAGTTCTACTTGGTCATATTTTTACCGGGTTTTTCTGACTATTCTGTTTACTCGTGGAATATGGTTTGAAATAGTTTTTGGGGTTATGTGGAGTGTTATGTCAGTAAGCATATTGCTAATATGTTACATGAAGGTGTTCATATTACATTGTAATAACAATATTTTAATTTGACATTTGATATACATAATTCTCAAAACATTTATTATAAATTCATGGCCAAATATCATAACAAACTATACAAGTTAAAAATATCCATGCTCTAATTGTTCATTGTTTCCCCCATCAGACTATCCGTTCAACATAACAAACGAACACAGCATTTGTCATCAAAATTTATTATCATATTCTTCACATGGTGATTCCTGTGGTACAACAATCAACGCAGTCGCACTATGCATTCAACTAAATTACATAATCGCATATTGAAGCTGAACCACACATCAATCTTCAACGTCAATTTATTATTTCAATTTATTCATACTGTCATTCTTCCCTTTTCTGTTTAATTAGTCTTCATATATATCTATATCTATATATGCATCATTGTCATTTATTAAAATTGGTGTGTCTATTACTTGTCGCTTGCCTATTGGCTTTAACTATTGCTAACTGACACTCATGAATATGGAGATGGCATTTTTAAAAAAATTCTAATACAATTTTGATGCTAACTGTTTTCTGTTTAACTGACTATATGTTTATGTGTTCCTGACACCGTTATTTTAATGTTTATTTGCATGCTATTTTCGCATTTAGGACTTATAAGTGGGTAAATTTATTATGTTTTCGCAGTAAACATATATCCTGAATAGTTAATTGTCGGTTTTATGTCTGGTTTGACTATTCCTATTGGTTTTGTTGATTACAACATACCATTATTTTCGTGATCAGTGTACTTTGTCAGTTCCCATATATAATTTGCAGGTATTTTTTGTTTGTGCGTTTTCTTTGACTATCTCTGATTGTTCATACTTTGTTAGTGCATTTAAAAATAATGTACACAAATAAAAACATTCCCTTAACAATCTTACACAGAAATAAATGTGAAAGGCTCTTCATGCATTTTACTGTATAACTGACGACGTTGATTTCTCATCTGCTTGATGCAGATTTAAATAAATAATGCGGAAGTAAGATTTTTGAAAATAAATAAAATGGTCACATTCTATTGACCAGTTGGGCTTTGTATGTTTTTAAATACATATATTTGATAAAATCCTCAGATCAGAATATTGCAACATACTCTCATCTGAACATGATATAGATTTCTTCTTACGGACTGATATAATGAAATCCCAACCTTGATATATTGAACAACATATTTTTGTGCAGTATTCTGCGTTGTATTACGGCCGTTTAATCATCAGTATACTTGATTGCATTCATCATATTCAACCATAGATTATGTAATATTCTTTTGTCTTTTGCATACTATTAACTAAAACGACTGTTTGATCCAGCATAAATTAGGTTAAAAATATTCAGTAGGACAATAAAATCTCATTAACAATTATATATTTGAATTTATTTCAACTGATGTCTGCAGTACAATTGAGCTGTATGTGTTGCATTTAATATTCGTGTTTCAGCATATATGTGTATACAAATGTGACACTGCTGAAGTGGGAATGTGCAGAAGTATATGTAATTTCAGTATCACTTCCGTAGGTGTTTAGTTTACTGCTTTACTATTTACATTTTAAAATTTTGCCTTCTATATTAGGTCACTTTGATTTCCTCAAGTCACTATTAACATGTGCGTTTTTTCCTAACACATAAGCCAACTTTTAGCTAATCGAAATCATTAGGAATTTTGTTTATTGCGTAAAAAATTTCCATATATTCTGGAGTTTTTCACCTTGTTTGATTTTAATCATTTTAGACAGTTTCCCTTCGTCTTTATTTATTAGTTTCTTGGTGAATGAATAAAAAAGATATCTTCTGTTTATGTAATGAAAGTTTTTCTAGCATTCAAATGATACATTTTGTCTTAATAACTTCTTGAAATTTGTTAGTTTTTTCTGATTTTATCTTCATTGTATTCAGTTTACTGAGCACGTAGAACTAAAAACACTTCACTTATTTGTTCTTTAGCATGACAGATATGTGCATAATATATTTTCAGTAATTGTATATAATTACATAATTTCATGTACATGTGGTGAAAATCATCCTGTAGTGATCAATACAACTGTATTTCATTGTCTTTATGGACACATAAACCAAAGATGAACTTATTCAGCCTACGTGAAGTTCCACTATGATCAAAATATTATGATTTATGTTCGATATGTGTAGAAAATTTAGATGTATTTACATTGTCAAATATAGTAAAGCAGTGAGAAACTTTTAGTCGACGTTTTTTGAAACGCTAATTTCTTTCAAGTGTATTAGCAGACAAGCTTTTTCTTTAGATATGATTAGCAGATGTCTAAGTCTTATATTCAATCCTAGAAAGCCGGAAAAATATCAGTTAGCGATTCCTATTATTGCCGTTTATAGTTTAAGGTATGTTGGTGGTCTTGGCTATAATTTTCATTATAGCCGTGTTATTTAAGCAGAAAGTAACAAGTATGATTAAAAACTGGCTTAATTAACTAGGCCAGTTTTTTGGCCTAGTTAATTAAGGCTTAATTAACTAGGGCCCCCAAATGCCCTGGTACGGCCGAGAGTGGGAAGAGTCCGCTCTCCCTCTCGAAATGCTCTCACATGGCCACGCGTATATAGCTTCTGCCAGGGAAGTCCTACTCACTGCCTTCTCGTGGCAGGGGTGTTTACGAAAATGAGAGGACGAAAAGCGAAGTGAATGTTCGGCGCTTTAACCGGATTCTAAACCAATGGTGCACATGGGCTCCAGTATCCTGCGGGAACAAATGGCGTATGAACCAATTGCTGGTCACCGGCTTCCATGGGACTGCATCTCCTTACGATGCTCCACTGCCTTGTGGATCAGACCATTAGGTCAAAGGCTCGGGGAATGGCCCCTTAAGAAAACCACCTGCTTCGGTCTGGGCACCCGGGCAGTATCATAGCCCTCACACATATCGAATGAGATTTGTGTGGCGCACATGTATTTGGTGCCTCTTTGTACCATTATCTATGTGTTGAAATAATTAACTAGGATTTTGTCCATCTGCCATCACACTCCTAATCCCTAAACTTAACTCATCACAATTTGTTGTTTTGGGTTTTGTTTGTCAATTATTTTCATTATATGTTTCGATGTTTCCGCATGTTCTCTCGATGTATAGTTGCTCATCAACAGTTCATCTGTGAATTTAATCTTATACTAATTTCTTAGGACTATTGACTTCTTGACAAGCTGTCATATTGGATTCATCATAATTCCTACGAAATCGATTCCTACTTTTTCGCTTTGTTAAAAATCATTAGGCGTAATACAAAGGAGATAAGTTTAGTGTATTTTATGAAATTATTGCTTAGGTAGTTTGCACCATTTCTTGCATCCGGCAATGTAAAATGTGACATTGTAAAATAATGTTCTGTTTCTTGCATTTCGTTTGCCTGTTATCTCATGGTTTTCTGGTATTTTTGTATATTGTATACATTTTTGAAAAGCCGAATATAGTCGCCGTTCTATGGCTGCTTAAGGATTTGTATACGTAGCCACCTTTATCGACATACCGTTGACGCTAGTTGCTTTTTGTATGGGTTTCATAGTAGTGAGTAATCAACAGTGTTGATGTTTCACATTGATTTTTTTGTATCTAATTGATAGCAAGAGCAAAGAGATTATAGAATAAACTAAGATGTTAAGCTTATAGGTTCCTTAAGGACAGTGAATTTTATAAACGTTGCACCTCGATCCCGAACTTATACAAATATTTATTGTGTGAAACTATCGACTTTATTATCACGATATTAAAATATAGTGAAAAAGCATTTCTAGAGATGAGTTTATTCCTTATGGTTTTCAAAATATTACCCAAAGTTCATTCGAAAACTGTCATTTGTCTTTTTAGTTCGTCGTAGTGCGTATGAATTTTAGTTTATTGTATGAGGTCCAAGTTAAATTTGGAGCCCAGTATGTGTTTTGCATTACCGGTTATATTGTTTTGGGAAACCAAGATTCAAATGAATACAACGGATTTTTTGCCCTGATAAATTCGTAATGTACAAGAAATCTTATCAGTCACCACCAACATCACTATGTTAGTAATTAAGTTTCATGTAATATTGCTATATCAGATACATACTGGATAAGGAGCATATGTTGGTAACACAGCTTGCAAGCTATGCTATATATGGATTGTATCATTTACACATGCTAGTACATTGTGTCGGGAAACTTTGTGCTTTAAGGGACTTACATTTCAAAGGATTCTTCACTCTAATTACCTTAGCCAGCATTTTGAATACAAGCAAAAAAAACGATAATTTGAATACCATTATTGTCACACAAACAAGATTAGGCACAGGCGTTTACTAAAGTTCCCAAATTCACTATGATTGTCATTATAACATTTTCTTATTCACGCATCACACAGTGTAGAACTTGGTGAAAAGCTGTATAGGTCATGCGATTAAAAGACAATGAGGATTTAGAACGAAGTACTCAGATGTCAGAAACATATAGTCCATTTTTCCAAGCTGGTCGTGAACAAACGCATTCTCGTTCTGCTAAAAAAACTCAGTCATAGCAAGTTGCTAGCCATTCTTGTTATATGCTTGTTGTTGAAAATGTAAACTGGACAGTTACTGCAATATTTATAAGGTCCCCAAGGTGCACAACGAACAAATAATTTGTTACTATTTTCGTCTACATTTGAGAAATGTATTGGGAGAATACTTTGCTCTGATTTTCTAGAGTGGAGAGGATATTTCACGACTAGTCTCATAATCTGATAATGCATGCGAGAGAGTCTTTAGCTCTAGGCGGTGTTAGGTTATCCGAAATTCAATTAATTGTTTTTAGAAGCATATAAAAATATGGTCGCCAATATATATGCACACAAACACATATTTGAGAGGAAATTTGTCGAGAATAATGTTCGGAAACTAGGAAGTCAGCTAAACACTACTAGCTGAATTCCCGATTGAGCACTACTTATTTATTGGCTTAGTGCATTTGAAGGTCCTATATTTTCCACTCGAATTTCCAGGTTTCTCCGTACTCTCTTCGTTGTACCATTTTCAATACATTTTTAAATTTGATTTGAGTTCATTCGCACTGTCTGATAGCCTCAATACTTCAAGTAATAGAAGTGATTCCATAGCAGTCATCAAGACTGTGAGTCCATATTGCTACATGAAATGTATGTTATGTTAGAAGGGTACAAACTGCTTTCTGAATCAGAAACGTACAGTTGGGTCAGTGAGCATTTGCGAAGCTAGCTGAAAATAAGATAGGAGAGAATAATTCCATTGTAAACATTTAACCGCTACTAGCTAAAACTAACATTTAATAACAGGTGTAAGGTACATTTAGCTCGTCATCCAAACTTATTGCTTTCTTCCGTCGTGAAAAAAGCGAGACCAACGGTATTCATCACTTGTGCTATTTGGTTTTATGCGGAAATAATCCCGAACGATCTTTGACAATTTTCTCACCAGGGGTTTTATGAACAACTTTCGAACTCATCAAAGAGATTTTGTTCCTCAAATGTGGCTCCCACAGTATTCATTCCTTTGGGCGTCTGTAATGTCTGTGAAGCCGCTACACCTCCTTCACAACGATAGGTGACATTGATTTATACAGCGTATGTCGACCTTGCTAGACAGATCAGCGACTGCTTACAATATTATATACGTATATAATCAAAAGCAGAAGCATAGTTCAGAAAAGCGCATCGAACAAGCTGAACACTATATTGTGATGCAGAAAAGCAACGTCATCTATGGTGCTTCTTTTGCATTTACGTTCTTTTATTGCCGATTGAAGTGGGAGTTTCAATAAATTTTTCATTGTTTTGAAGAAAGTTTAAGTTATTGCTATGGGTTTACATTTCATATTCTTATCACAAGGTATAGGGATTGTTTTTCTCCATATACTTGGTAAGAGATTACTTGAGAAGTATCTGTTTAAGACACTTGTGAACGTACAACTCAGCACATTTTTTACAAAGGAGACTTGAGATTTCAACAGGTTTTAAACATTGGGATGAAGTAAGTGACTGGAGACATTTCCGAACATCAGTCTCATTGTAACCACAAACACATATATTCTTCAAACCTGTGGATATAGGGAGCATGACATCAGATGACTGACATACAAGACTTATTTAAATCACAGACATTCAGTCAGTTATCGCTTCTAATTTGGCCTGTAAGTTGTTGAAAGAGTTTTTACAAAACAAGAGTTTGTGAGTAAACATAAAGTTGAGACGTCTAATTTCTAGGTTTATGTGCATATTCAGTTAACGGACTTTGTTAGAGTTTCTGTCACTACATTCTTTCATTTACCCTCCGTAGTGCTTTTATTTGTGGAGATGTAATTCGGTCAAAATTTTCAAAAATCGTTTCTTGGGACATCAAATATCAAAACAGAATTTAAGATAACCAATGGTAACATCCATAGTGTTTTTCAGTGAGTCGTTTGTAAATAAGTTCGACATTGTCGTACAATGCATGGTTTTCGGATTTTGAATATTTCCTGGCTGGTTCATTTCTTTGTCTGTTGTGAGAGTGTACTCCTTCCTATACCCAATCTCCAGAGATTGGGTGCTTAGTTTGGGAAAACCTTCAAAATCAAATGACACTGAACAAGGTTAAAGGGGGATTTCCCAGATCTGGCGGGATTTTGTTATTTCGGTGCCATTTCCCAAAAATTGGGAGCTCGGGTAGGCATTGAAGATAGTTTGCCTTGTTAATTGATGGTCACTAGTTACAATTTAGCCTCTCCAATCAACACATGGTCAGTAGGCATTCTGTTCAGTGCGTATACTCAACTATCAAGCTGTCTTTTCCTACTTTTGGTATCTTGCAGCGATAGGTCGTGGGATCTTCGTAAAAGCTCCTGTAAAGTTCATGCGATTAAAAGACAATGAGGATTTAGAATGGAGTACTCAGATATCAGAAACATGTAGCCCATTTTTCCAAGCTGGTCGTCAACAAACGCATATGGACTCGTGTATCTTGTGGACGTAATTCGATTTTTTTTACACCTGAAGATTTGTTTTCGTCCCTGGCGTCCGTCCGACTGCGGCGAACATTTTTTTATCTGTCGTGTTGAAAAGACTTCTCTCACAGTATCTTGACTATTGTCTTTTGATTATAAACACCTGTGTTTCGACTTTTTTAATCTATATTCAATTAATACAGTATTAGGTACTTCATTTGTGGCACATGTGTGCTTAACGATATCCTCAAATGCTTTTTACGCATATAAATAATTGTGCTGTAGCGGTATATAAATCCCCAAAATAAATAGCTCTGTAAGTTTTTCGACATTGGATGCTGACCACATTAGTTTTAATGGACTGACCTAGCTGAAGATGCTCGGTCATGCATCCGCACCAGATCACGAGTGGGAACGCTGTGCTCAACAAACCCTGCAATCGCTTGCCAGATTAGGTCAGATGACTCTCGATATATTGATGGCCTATCAAATATATCTTCGAACTTCCTTGGTTGTCTTTTGATTTCACTTTTTCGGTACGATT